CATTAAAGAAGAATCCTTGTATCCTTACAAGGCCACTTTGTTTCTTCCAGAATCAGGTCAATATAGCACTGGATTAATTATGAATGTATAGAACTTCTCTCCATCTTCTGATGTTAATTATCTTTTTCCCCCACTGGCTATCTCTATCTCACTGCTATATTATCGTCAACACAAAAAAATTCCTATGAGACTGTAATAAAAATTCACTCAGTTAAGATCTGTGTATAAAACTCATGAAACTCACAGATGATGCTCCTGAGTTTTCATCTCCCTTCAGATGTTTACCATCTATTATCATCACCATTTCCTTTTCAGGGTCATCCAAAAGGAGACTCGTGCTTCTCTCTACTCTGCCATGAGAAGCCTCATTAATGCTAATAAGACATCAGCAACTGGATATCTTTGAAACTTACATTCAGGTTGCTTCTTGAACTGACACAGAAGTGAGAAAAAGCACTCAATAACTATCACATTTTCTACATGCTAGGAGATTTAAAATGCATTAGATCGGTAGAGGTGGAAGAATCCAAAATGTGCCTCTTAAAAGAATTTTACACCAACATCTGCCAATCTGGTATGGGAGTTGAAAAACAAGCTGGTCTTTTCCATTTCATTTAGACCATTTTCTTACCACACAGATCCCTAAACAATCGGAATTATTGGTCAAGAACTGCCCGGTATTTCCTTAAACAGTCAGTAATTTACACTGATAGCTTATGTTGAACACTTACAATGGGTTATACAATCTTCTATCATCCACTGTTCATCTGCAGAGTACAGTGTACCGTGCTTTCATCACTCACCTGCTCTCCCCGTGGCCCTCGCAGTCCTGGATAACCTTTAAGACCCTGCAAGTGGAGAAAGAAAGATGCAATAAATACAGTTAAATAAACAAAATGGACCTTCTTTTCATACTCTATTCTCCCTTTATCAAGAAAGAAAATATCTAGACTTGTCTGTCTGCAGAACTGGTTTACATTCAGCAGCTCATATGAAAGCTGAGTTAGAGTAAAGCAGTAAGAAATCTTCTTGGCAATTTAGACAATTTCAAGATATCAGCATGCTTTAAGACAGTTCCAGACTTGTTCTCTTTTGAACAAATGAGTACATGGGATGCTGTCACCTGCTGAAACTGAAGAATTAGACTCTACACAGTGCATTTCCCCACTCCAACTCCTTGTCACAGTGACCTTTCTGAACAAGGCAGTTCAGAGGAGAGGTGGTTAGTTCAGATGGTCGACTCAGATTATTCTAGGACACACTCAGGAGAGACAGACCTTCCAAGAAACACATCTTTTCTTGAAATTAACATAGAACAAATTTCAGCTCTCTTACTATGGAATTTTTATTGGTAGGGAAAACAGTCTCATCCCAGATATATTCCCTGTGGTGCTGGAATCATGAAACTGTTGAACTTTACTGCCTGTGGATAGACCATTTCAAACATATTTTACCTCTTAAAGAAAAAAGAAAAAGGAATTAAAAATAGAGCTGGAACCTGCCATCTGCACAAGTACACTTGAAAGGGGAACCTTCTTGAATGTCTTTACTCTGTACTAAACATACCCAGGCAAGCCAGCCTAAAAGGAAGCCTCTAACAGTTGCATGATTTATGCAAAAGCCAAGTTTCTGGCCTCCACATCCTTTGCAAGAGGTACTGGGAATACACAAGTCCAAAAGCTACAGCTTGAAAGAGAAATACCAAAACAATCCTTATTATGGACAGAAATCTATCATAAAATTGGACTCAAAGACATTGACTGAGCAGCGGGAGTGTCTTGGCTGATGTTAAACATCTGGCTGCCTTGCGGCATGATGATACTCATCACTCAGTAGAGACTTGAGATTCACTGTAATAAGAGGAAATTCTGCAACTGATTTCAGCAGATCAGGTATTTCAAATTTCTGGATGAGCTTTTGCATGATCATAACAGTATTTTTGCATGAAATTAATTTTATTATCTTATACAAGATTAAAAGATAAAATTATTTTTCTTGCTGACAATTTTGGAACAAGCCAATAACTCCTCTTTAGCTTTCAAAATGTGAGTCAGAAAACTACAGTTTTTTACAGTCCCAGCCAACTCCGCATTTCATGAATTTTATCCATTAAAGAATTTTATCCTGTTTCAATGCTTAAATAATCAACTAAAGAAGGTGTTGCTAGAAGAGAACTCTCAGTTTCTTATTTTTGTAGCAGGAAAAAAGGAAAGCAAATTGTGCTACACACAGAAACACTCAAAGAAAAGTTTATCACAAGTTAGTTTCAAAGTGGGTCAGTTTAGCTGATTAACACTTACATGGACAGACTCAAAAAAAGGCTCACAAGAAACTGTGAGATGAAGGACTGATTACTGTTTGCATGTTTCTACACAATAACATCTTACTTCTGTCAGAGCAAAACTCCTCTGAACTCCTACTTTAGAGCAGTATGCCCATATTCTTATTCAGAGTTAACATGGCTTTAATTCATTCTAACTCACTTAATGCTGGTTGGGAATGAAGCTAAACCATGCTAAAATGAATATCATTCCAAAGAGACAGTTTTCACACACAGGTTTCTTTCCCTGTGACTTAGCTAATCCTCTTAAAATTCTTAGATTTTTATTAGCTTGAGTTTGTATTCTTGAGCATATCCCTATAAAATAGATGCAGTTTACTCTGAGCTAAGATGGAAATAAATAAGAAGAATAAAAGTTCACATGCACTGGTTTGAAAAATTAACTACCTTCCAATTTCTAATGAAGATTAATTCTCTGACTTTAAAGCTCAGTGTGGAAGAGAACAGTTTGAGGCTTCCACTTACAGCAGTACAGATTTCAAGCACATTTCAAAAACACAGCAAGTTGTAAGAATACTTTGGTCTGCGTGAGAGAAAAAATATTTACTGCCAACTAAAACGCAGCAAGTTGAAGTGTCTGACTTCTACCATATGGAGCACAGTGGGACCCAGACTGAGTGAAGTGTGTATATGGCAGACAGTCTGTGTATATAACAGCAAGGACTACTCAAGCCATGTCTTTCCATCTTACTGTTACCCATTGTATTTTACTAGAATTTCTGTGCACTGTTATTAAAATACATTAAAATATTTCTAGCACAATATTGGCAATTATTCCAGAGAGTCAAGCAATTTCTGTAACCTGTAAAAATCAGTACGTGAAGTTTTATGACTAATGCTACAACCATCAGCTACCAAGAGATATTATCTTTGAAAAGTATCAGCTAAAAAGTTTGCTGGGCATGGAGCAAGTCTAGCCAATAAATGGACTCCTGTGTGCTGTCACAAGAGCCTTTGCAATGCTTGCTTATCAGCTCCATGGTGTCACCATACTGCCTCCAGTTTTGAAAAAATCCTTCAACAGCAAAAGGTTTTGGGTTTTTTTCATAGCTCCATTCTATGTTTTTGCTGATGTTTATTCCACAAGTAAGATTTCACCTAGCAACTCTTAGCCCAAATAGCCTAAGGAATGGAAATACCACTATTCTCTCACAGAACCAAGTTTCCCTCTGCTCAAGGAAAATTGCACTCTGTAGAAGAAGCAGTGGGAGACACTCGGTAGCATAAGGCTGATACCACCGTGGGTACTGCTTTGAAACTTATTTATCTGCCATGTCTTTTGAAGAACACCAACAAAAGCAGCTGTGATTAACATCCTGATGATCTCAATTTACTTACAAGGGAAGGTTTTGCACTGTAGACAGTCATAATACCAACAGCAAGCCTGAAGCTGTTCTATTGCCTCTTGACCATCAGACATGGCCACTGGGCCAGGGTAAGTCACATGAAAATGGAAACAGAATCTTACCTTCTGGCCTTTGATCCCAGGTGGACCTGGAAAGCCTATGGGGCCTGGATCGCCCTGTACAACAAAAACATCCAGAATCAATATGTTTCACTGGAACATGGCACAGCCCCATAAACATGTAGGACTTAACATCTCTGTATTCTTGGACATTTACTATGAAGAAGCAGCTCATGTTGTTTGATTAGGCATAGATTTTTATGGGATTTTTTTTAGAGGAAGAAAACTGAAAAGCCAACAGTTCCTCAATTGAGACCACCATGTAAAACGTGCCTGCTCCTGCCAAATCATGGCCAAATCATGGCTGAAACAGTCTCAGTTCACAACCTCTCAACATTTACTTTTAGCCAACATAAATGGGAGTGAAGAAGCTATATAATTATTGAGGTAAACCTTTCCTCAAATTACTATATATATTTAACTATTATTGTTTATATTACTACTATGTCAACAATCCTCAACCAAGAACCAGGACACCATTATGGTATGCACTGTGTTCAACACAGCACAAATCTAATCTGTGTAAAAGGTAACTTGAAAGATGCATAAAGACAAAAGTGTTATGGTGGAATACAGCTATTCTCATCGAGTATTTTAAACTTCACAAATACGTGATGGCATATGGGAATAAGAATTAGAGCATCTCAAATGTTAGGAAGATAGAAAAAGATGCAAATTTTTATGGTTTTTGCAGATGGGGAAGGAGGAAAGGTTGTTTCAGCTCTTTTTTTCCTTGCTCAGGACTGACAGTGAAGAGATTCACTCCTTCAGGATTAGTCCCCAAATTCAAATTCAGTGGGTCAAGGAATGGATCCTGGAAGTGAGTTAGCATCCAAATAAATTTAACTCCATTAATTAGGGCGAGCAAAGTTAAATTTGGGGGGAGGGGGAAATTATGAACACAAAATAGTGTGAACTATAAAAATGTATATCAATCCCATATTTTTGGATTATAGATGCATTCCACATGTATTTAGGTGTAGTCATACAAATATATGGGTGAGCTTTAGACTGTTCTGTGGCTGCTTGGGTTCATGCCAAAGAATATAGCTTGAGTTTCAGGCAGACATGTACAGCTAACAACACTATGATTAGATTGCCAAAAGCATAAGCTGGTTAAATTAAAATAGTGTTGCTGTTTCCACAAAAGATGCACTTCAAATTCCCATTAGTGCATCAGCAGACACGTTTCTGAATTTCTTCTCAGCAGCCCCTTAACACTGACAATATATATTTGTGAATTTTAGGCTTTGACAGCACATAGCCATTAAAAATTAAGTTATTTTATGTACACATCAGCAGCTACTAAACAACAGTTATTTGCTAATGCGTTCTTCATTACAGAGAACGGTCCCGGATTCTTACAGTGTTTTCTACATAGCACAAATATTCCATAATTTACCTACTAGAAAATGCTGTTAATAAAACATAGCATAAATACAAGATATTCTAAAAGATGTAGCAGAGGCTAACACATTAGAATACAAACATCCAATTATATTTTAGTGTTATCACATTGACTCTAAAGTTCCATACATACTCAGTACATTTGTAATCAAAAAATGAAATAATCACAAGCTTTCAAGCCCAAAATTTCTATGAAGAATAGAATATTTGAATATTTATACTCAAATATTTCGGGCAGAGAGAGCAACCACTTGTTTGGCTAAAGTGGCTTAGCAGGCACAAGCAGAAAAAAAGCTCTGAAGTGAAAGGACAAATCTTAGCATCAGCATTGTGCTGTCATAATTTGTCTCAATATTAAACAAGACTTCACAAAAGAATGGGATAGACAAAACCTTTTTCTATAATTAAGAAAATAATACCTTTTCCCCACGTTTTGCCCGTCCTGGAGAGAATCCTGGGTCTCCTTTAGGGCCCTGTCACAGAGAAATTAAGCTCATTAATACCATCAGGGAAGAGAGTTTTTAGTAATATATGTGCAAACAAGCATTGTCAACTGTTACAGCAAGAGGAGGAAGAACGTTCATATAAAATATACTTGTTAGCATAGATATTTTTCTTATAACTTTTTCAGTAAAGAGCAACAAAGAAGGCAATAGTGTAAGTTGACACTGAAATGAGATTTACATTTTCCAAATCTCATGTCACAAAATTTTGAAAAGCAGATTTATTGGCAATTCCAAGCAGGATTACAGCAGATACCCCAACCAAATTGCTCTGCCCGTGTCTCCATCGCTTCAGAACACCAGCTGTTCCTCAGAGACTGTGCAAGATTAACAGGCTGTATTACTGCATGGACCACAACCTTGTCCAGGTTTCCTCAGCCTTCCCACGCAGCACGGACATTGTACTGGGAAGGACAGAGCTGTGAATGCAGACAAGGCCTCTTCCATAAGGAATTTGTGCCTAGCAGTTGAGACAGGTGATCATTCTTGGCTGGGCATTACTGTCCTCATCCAAGGCTGGGCAGCAGGCAGGAGAAGGACACTGCCACACCAGTCTCTCCTACAGTGAGTTAGCTGTAGTTAACTACAGTGTAGTTAAAGCAGCGACAGAATCCATAAAATAGATTTTCTTAACTAATCTATTTTTCAGAGAGCCAAGAATAAAGCCAAACCTTATGGACACTTTTAAATTACTTTAAAAACATCCCTCAACTGCTTATCAGAAATTAAACGCTGAGGACACCAGGTTTTGGTTGGAACTGCTGGCTCTCACTCAGGGCTGGATACTATGCTGTAAGGGTACCAGTTAAGGTTGTTCATGTTTCAAAAGCAAGTGCATAAAGGATCCTTCAGCATCTTAAAGACAGAATAAAATTCTGTGTTAATTTTCTGCAAGAAAATTGTTACAACTAATTTGTGATGTTTTAAGATCAAACAAAAGTTTGTTTCAGTTTACATACTCAGTGTGGGTCAACTGGATCCTCAGAGCCAGAACTTCATAAGCATCTAGCTAATTTTTATTTAAAGAAAACTATTTCAAAATATACTTTTATTGAAAAAATAATTTATAGTCTAACAGAACTGAAAGAGATCACTAAGGAACTAGTAATATATATGTTTTTATAACTAAATAAAATATATATCAGTACATACACACATGTACAATTCCTTCTGTTCTTAAAGTCATGGAGAGAGCAACAGAACTGATCAGAATTATCATCCAGTGGAGGGGCAAAACACTTTATAAAACAAAGCCTAGGAGTAATTGGTTACAATTATTTTCCTAGCAATATATTCTATTATACAGCCAGCATAAATATGGTAAAAATTAATTATGAATCTCTAAGTTTAATTGTTCCTATAGAACTACATAAGAATGAAAACAAACATAAAATAGAGTAACTTGGGTTTACAGCATTTGACACGGAAAGCTTTATTAAAATTCTTTTTATGTCCTCAAGCAGATTTTAACACCTGTCACGACAGGTCAGATTCCTGCAATTAGGAATTGTACTAAACAAATCATGGTGCTGCTTTCTTCCTAACATATCTATCAAATGGTTCAAACTAAATATGAGTTGAAGGCATTTTGCAACTGCACAAATCTGTCAAATCTATTTAAAGGGCCTATGTTACACAAGTTTGAAGGTGTTATTTGAGCTTCCAATCCAGTATTTTGTCTTTTATTTTAAATATCACATCCATAAATCTTCAGAAAATTATTGTAGCATATTAATCAAGTAATAAAGTCTGAAATATCAGAATATTTCAATATAAAATGTTGGACATGGACAATAAAATAGCAATTTATAAAAAATGACAGTCTAAGTTTTTTTCTTTTTTCTTTTTTTTTTTTTGAAAGGCAAAAAAAAAGGTTTTGGCAATTAAGTGCTTATTCTCATTTAAATTTCAGTTTATCAAAGAGGCTGAGATGATTTACAGGAACTCTTTTGGGAAGTACAGACTACTTGCAAGAATAGCAGTTTCCAAGTCATCTTTTGCACACTCAGGTGTTTTTCTTTCCGCTGAATAATCTGCTTTTTTGTTTTGATATGAAGTTCAATTTGATTGATTACATTTAATTAAAATATGTTTATAGTAGCACTCTCCATCTGTAAACCAAAGAAAGCCAATTACTTCTATTATAGGAAACAGTTCTGGGCCTTCCAAAAAGTCATTAAAAAGTTCATGTATTTACATGGCAACATGGATAAATTTACTCACCTTGAGACCTGGCAATCCTGGCAAACCTGGGTTACCATGTGGTCCTGGAATACCCTATTAAAAAAACCCCAAACAAAAGAAAAAGAACAAGGAGTGGGATTACTCAGTACTCCACTGAACACATGTGAAAAGTTTACAGAGAATAATTTTACTGCATCTTTGCTACTTTTAGAAGCAATGGTTAGGATTTTCAAAGGATTCACAAGACATAAAACATACACATCTTCCTAAAAAACTAAAGTGCAATTGAGTAATTCTTTTTCTTTTCAAAATCTCAGTTTCTCTTGTCTTTCCAGGTAATTCATAGCAGGTATTTGGCACACAGTCACTGCAATGTTGCTTTCCGACTACAACATTGGGAGGCATGGCATAAAAAAAAATCAGTAAAATCACATTCTGAGGTACCCATCTATACACTGCAAAGAGAAGGAAGTGGATGAGTTCTCAATGACTTAAAAGCAACACCACCTTCTTTTAAAAAATCACAGATCTTCCTGATTGTCCCACAGCTAGTGCAGAAAATGGGTTTGTTACTAAAAGAATTCAACTTAAACCACTCCAGAAACAGAATAAGCTATCAAGACTATCAACACCTTTCAGCATAAGTGTCTGTTCCTGCAACATATTCAGCAATCTTCACTCCTTGAAAAACTGCACATCAGGGAAATTATTTATTGCAATAGCTGTCAGCAGCTATTTATCTTCCAAACTTCCTTGGCTAAAGGACCAAACTGGTGAAAACCTGTCACTGGTAAGTTGGCAACAAAGCTTGTGTTGAATTAACTAAAGCCAAAATTCCACCCAAACAATTAATTCAAATACCAAATACAATAAAAACACTTTTCAACTTTCTTGTATATTCAGTGGTCTAACAACAGATAAACTCAGTGTTTGTCTTTCCATCACACAAGGCTGAATTTACCAGTTATACCTTGCAGTAACACTGAAAGCTGTATCTGTTAGTGCTCCCTTTCACTAATGACAATGTTGACATAACTCCACAGAAATGCTAATCCCACGTGCTGTTTGAGAGATTAATTTGCACACTGGCAACTTTGGAGGCACTCTCAGGGATTTAGGAGAAAGGAAACAAATAGAAAGTGCCAACATAGCTGCAGTGCTGAAGTGGCTCCTACTTTCGTTGCTCGCAATGTTATTGTCTTGGGTCATAGTACCACAATACAGAAGTGCAAAAGTATTCTTGTGGAATGAGAGGCATCAGAGGAGTTTCACACCATCATTAATCCTGAAATTGCTGAAATTTCATTACTGAGAAACTCAGAACAAGCCAAGACACTCAGAAAAACTTAACTGTCAGATATGGACTTCTTTACCATAGAATTACAGGGATCAAAATCATTTCCATTTTTAATGAAAATCTCTAACCATTAATCACACATTCTCAAAGTGTCCAAACCATATGAATGTCTGTCAGGATCAGGTTTGGACACACACTTGAGAGACCCTGATAAAGGCACAGGCAATGCAATGCACCTCTGCACTCTGCTGTTTGTCTTTGACACCCCGAGTCACATTTTAGGATCATAAATGGAAGCTCGTGTGAAGAAGACAGAAGTCATGGGGCAGGCTGGTAGATGAGAGAATGAACTTTGCATCAACAAGGTTCTCACAGGCTCTTTGGCTCACAAAACTCCTGTCATACCATGTACCTTCACTAGGTTTACCTGCTTGAATTTATCAGTGTTGTACAAACTAAAGAGCACCGGCATTTCAAAACTATTTATTTTTGATCAAATAGTTTTATAGACTTTCTTAGCCCATATAAATATATTTTAAACTCAGAACTATTGGTAAATATTCACCTCAGCCTTTTTCATATTTCCCAGGCACCCTAACTGTAAGCTGTCTCTTCACATTGGCAAGCATGTCCTACACAATAATTAATCCAGAAAATTCACACAGTAGAGCACTGCGCTTTTAAGTACTCTATACCTATAAAAAAAGACCTGCAGGAAAAAATCCCAAACAACAACTGAGCAAGAGTAATCTCACCAACAGGCATGGCTTTAAATATATGGACAGCCTCCTCTAAAAAAAAAAAGACAACTTCCCAGTTCTCATGATCTACTTGGGTATGTGGGATCCTTCCCCTGATGCCAGATGTATCCTCGGCAGAGGCAGTATGCAACATAAAAAACTGAGTTTAAGAATTGTCAGCTCTTTTGTAGAAGGATAACTTGAAAAAAGGATCCAAGGAGTCATGAAGACATGGATTTGAAGGAATGCTTTTCATTTTATACTTTTAAATGTGTCTCCTACTCCCTTGCCTCTGACTCCTCTAAAGGATCAGTTTGGTTTTCATCCTCTTTAACCAGTGCAGTTTCCTACTCAGTCAGGCCAAGTTTCGAACATCCTGTGCTTTGCTGGCTTTCAACAAGCTATTGAGCAGCAGCTTGTTTAAACGTTCCTCTAAGGCTGAATCAAAACTCCTCCCACACATCTGCTGAGCCTGCATATGAACTACTCCCTTACCTCCCACTTTTGATTTGCGTAGCTGTGGGTGCTCCAGCCACAACCATTTACATCCCTATATACCATGGACCAAAATCATCTACGCAACAGATCTTCACCTGTTCCTTCCAGTTGCCCTTCCCCAAAGCCCTCAAAATCAACCACGACCTCAGGGACTCCTCAAGCACATTTCTTTTGTACTCAGTTGTGCAAACACAGTTTCACCCTCTTTTGCCTCATCAGCTAGTCCGTGCAGTGGCACAGGCTCCTCCCACGTTCGTGCCAGCTGGGGCACAGGGTTGTGCTCACTGTGGCAAAAGCCCGCGCTCTGTCCCCTGGCACAGGGCAAGGCCTCTGTCCCTGCTCATGTTGGGTTGCACAGTCACACAAAATAACTAATTGCTACTGTAGCTCGGTGCTTTGGCAAAGTGCCCTGATACCTATCAAGCTATGATCAAGCTGCCACGCGCAAGAGACTAAACCAGATTTATAGGAGTATTTTTTTCCACTGCCTCTGTCTTGCAGTGGTTAATTTTATAGCCACCGCCTGCTCCTCTGTGGCTATGGCCTGCATTGCTCACTCCCCCTCATTTCAAAAACAAATGAATATGACCTCAGATTGCAGCAGATGGGAGCAGCATGGAAAAACTAGAAGTTAATATTCTGAGCAGCAAAAGCTAGGTACAAATGTAACAATGCTCAGTGTATGCACTCGTACATGGAATTAACTATGCTGGAGGCTCACAGCAGAAGAAAAGGTTTGCTTTGCCTTACTGTAACATATCTCCCAAGTATTAACAATCATACACTTCCATAATCACTAAGCATATGAATAGAGTTGAGAAAACCAAAATGTGCAAACTTCAGTTTGATTATTGGTGATCTGCCTAGAGGTGCAGAAGAACATAGTTGTTTTACTCACCCGAGGACCTCTCTTTCCTGAAGGACCAGGTAAACCTGGAGGACCTGGAGGACCCTGGTGATAGAAAATCAAAGCAGTTGAGCCTAAAACCTGACACAAGGACAGTATCACAAGTCTGAATGAGACCAGTTCTCCTAACTGACGACCTTCTGCTTGTGCAGACCTTCTCAATTTGGAAACAAATTCCCGAACTACAAGCAAGCGTGTTTTTAATCTGACTCCAAGTCAGATTTCTGTTTAGAAAGTATCTTACACCATACAAATTAGAGCTAGAAATCTGGATAATAACTTTTACTTAAGTGTATTGGTACTAAGGGAAGAAAAGATCAGGTGAAGCAAGCAAGTGCAGTGTATTTCTAAATAAAGAATAGAGAATAATTAAGCCTTTTTAATAAGCATGCTGGCATGCCAAACACTTCAGAAATGTTGGAGTAACTGTGAAAAAATAAGATACCACCTCAGAGAAAAGACAGACACGAAATAGAAGAAAATAAATGTGGAT